CCCGCGGGCAGCGGACAGGGTTATCCGCTGCCCACGCGCTCCGCGGCTTGGCTCTGCTTTGCCCTAAGTCAGAACTGGCGGTCAGTTTCAGCAGCGGCTGAATCTGGACGCCAGTTCCGACTTACATACAGATTCAACTTAAGAACAAACCTACAGTCCCTATCTTGTACGTCACCCGGGGACTGCCTGTACTGTGTCTATCCCCCTGGGGCCCTGGGCCCTGACTAGGGCTATGGCAAGACCAGTAACAATATAATAGCACATAAGCCTCGCTGGTTCTTTTTTATTCTTCTGTAAGCAGCACACTGGTGATGAGCTCTAATAATTAGAATGATAAAACCACCTGCATTTTGACTATCGGATCTGATTTTCTTGTTGTATTTGCCCTGCTTGGGTGCATCTACTCTGCACTCATAGCTTGAAATAAGCTGCGCAATTTGAGCTATACAAATTGTGTAGCTTATTTTGAATTATGTTCAAAATAGCTTATTCTGAAATTTGGCATTGTATTTTGAAATAGAGCACTATTCTGAAATGTCCCTTACTTCTCCTGGAATGAGGTTTACGGGGATGTTGGAATAGCGAGCTCTTTATATTTCGAAACAACTGGCTTGCTCAAAAGACACAGCATAGCTATTTTGGGATACCAGAAGTATCCCAAAATAGCTCCACAGTGTAGACGTAGCCTTTGTCATCTTCACACCAGCCATGCTGTTGTGTTGTTTGGAGAGGGCAGGTTCAGTGTCATAAAGGCAGAACTCGTGCAGGGCTGAGAAATGCAAAGGAAACATATTGCCAGGAAAAGTAAATAGTGGGATGTTACAGAACACACATCACATGCAGGGCCAGAAGTATATGTCACAGGTTACTCAGGTAGTGCAATGGGTGGCACCGGTATTCATGTAATAGTTTGTAAATCCCCATTCTGATTCATTTAATCCTGCAACACTTCCACAGAGACTGACCTGAGTGGGGGGGATCAGGGACATACTCTCTCTGAACACAGTTGTGAAGGGGGAACTGAGGGAGGGTAAAACTGGGTTGGTTGATCCTGCCCCCCAGGTTTGGGGAGGTGGGTGGGTGGGTGGGTGGATACAGTGGCAGATGGAACTGGTCTGAGGCTGACATGAGGATTGAGAATTCAGCCCTCTTGAACTTAGTGAGATCACTTGGGGCAAAGCCCTCTTGGGTGTTTCACAATGAGTGTTTCTACACCTCTCCAGTGCAGCGTGCTGTTCTCTGGTTCCTTCATTTGCCAAAGCGCTGAAGCCAGTTTCCGCCTGAGGTGCTCAACTCATGTTTTTTGCAGTGTCATTCTATTGCCCAAAATGGAGTCACTCCTGCTCAAAGCTCTGTTTCAGCAAAGTGCTTAACCATGTGCCTGACTCAAAGCACCTGAGTAGCCCCATTGAGGTTAATGGAACTACCAGTGTAGCTAAAATTGGGCACCTCAGGGAATTGAAGACATAGGTAGAAGCAGAGAATCAAGCTCTTTATGTTAAATTCTCTACAAGAATACATTAGATATTTTTATTATGAGTACCAGTGATCTTGTGAACCATCAGACTCATTTTAACAAACTTAAACACAGCTGAAACATTTTCTCCATATCCACTGAACTGATAGCACATTTCACCAACAACATGAAATCTTTGGCATCATAATAATGTGTGTCGAAGCATGCTCTTCTTTTGCTAGCTGGAAATGAAGAATGAGCAACTTGATCTCTGTTTGCCTTCTGCTGGAATTCCTTCACATAAGAAGGATTATATTACAGGGATGACATAAGGAATGAGCAAAATGAGAAGACTATGCCAGAGCTTGGGTTAAACAAGTATTTTTGCTATCACTGTGCTGTCTTCCTTTTTTTAAGCCTTTGGATCCTTTGAGCTAGTTTTAAAATAGATCATATTTGCATGGAGTACTAGGAAGCATCTTTGTTTTTTCACTAAGCTGTTTACTTCTGTATTCCTCTGAGTAGGTGTTCCCTTAAATTGCAAAACCCTGAAGGCCTTAATGATTTCATTATGCACACAAAACTCTCCCCATGCCCCCATTCAGACTGTAGAAGCTGTGCCCAGAATCCTCTGACAAGAAAGATAGGTCTCTGGTCTTGTCACCAAAGCCATTTTCCTGTTAGCTACTACAGGCAGTCACCGGGTTACGTACAAGATAGGGACTGTAGGTTTGTTCTTAAGTTGAATCTGTATGTAAGTCGGAACTGGCGTCCAGATTCAGCCGCTGCTGAAACTGATATTCAGACTGTAGAAGCTGTGCCCAGAATCCTCTGACAAGAAAGATAGGTCTCTGGTCTTGTCACCAAAGCCATTTTCCTGTTAGCTACTACAGGCAGTCACCGGGTTACGTACAAGATAGGGACTGTAGGTTTGTTCTTAAGTTGAATCTGTATGTAAGTCGGAACTGGCGTCCAGATTCAGCCGCTGCTGAAACTGATCAGTCTGGACACCAGTTCCGACTTACATACAGATTCAACTTAAGAACCCCAGGTGTCCCCAAGTCAGCTGCTGCTGAAACTGATCAGCAGCT